CTTAATTCCAAGTTATTTCTCTCTTTGATTAGTTTCCAACCATTGTTTCTAGTCCTGCCCTTTGGTTCTTTGGAAAAATAAATTGACCCCTCTTCTATGTTGCAGCCCCTCAAATACTGGAATACTGCTATCATGTCACCCCTAATTCTTCTTTTCTTTAGACTAGCCAGACCCAAAACCTGCAGACGTTTTTCATATGGTCTAGTCTCCAGATCTTTGATCATCTTAGTTGCTCTTCTCTGAACTTTTTCCAAAGTCTCAACATCTTTTTTGTAGTCTAGTCTGGCTTTCCTAAATGGATGAATTTGGAAATACCATTGTAACCCCAGATCTCACAATAAATATTGAGAAAGACCTCAATTTGCAATTCAAGCCTGTGAGATGGGCTTCTTTTATTGTTATACCAACATTATTGCTTATATGTCTAGCTTTTGATGTCTGAATTTATTGATAATAAGAAGAATCCATTATTATATGTTTATTTCTTTCCATGTATCAAGACTAGGGAGATTGATTTGAGCATATACTAATATGCCAATAAAATAGTGATCAATTTTGCTGCTCTCTCTTCCCCACCTGCTTTGCTTCAGTGGCCTCTGAAAATAGCTTAAAGTTATACCTAAAACACGTAAAGTCCTTGCTAAGCAGATATCCTTGTTCTGCCTATCATGAATCTGGAGCTTAGGTTAAGTAAAAAGACTGCTCCAGATAGTGATCAGTCCCTTGATTCTCAAATAAGGTCAAGTTTTAAATTATAGCTGGAAAACCCCAAACATTGAAACTAAGTTAATCCTAGGTAATGGAGTAGCATGCTGATTGGGTAAATGCTCATGAGAGTTTTAGATAAAGAAAACCTGTTTGTAATTAAAAAGGTTTGAGTCAGAAGTAAACTTTGTGGGATTCCACCCCCCCCTTGTCTTCTTCCAGTCTGCTACAAGACAGAGAAATACAGTAAGCAAAAATGCAAAGCTTGTTTTCTCGGTCTCTCTCTCTCCCTCCCTCCCCCCCCCTCTCATTCAGTGAATAAAAATTTTCCTGGTATGGCATGAGAAACTCAGACATTTAACTTTTTTTCTTTTAAAGGCTGATTTGGTTACCTTCAAAAATGTCAAGAAAGGAAGTTGAGAGATTTCTACCAGTGATCTTGGCCCTGAGAGGTGCTGCAATTTGCCACAAGCCAAGCATTTGGAAGATGTTCCCATAGAAAATTATGTACCAAATGTCAATTCGGGTTAAATGCAAGCTAGCCCTTCCCAAACTATTAAGTCTGAGTCCATACTCTTCTCTACCACCCCTGAGTTTTGTAGTTCCTTCCTTTATTTATCAGTTACAATGCAATGGATGCCATGACTATGGGTTGGTCATAATACAATAAATCTCTGAGTGTCTGTAAAGGCAGCCAGCCAGCCATGCAAGAGGCATGGAGAATGTGGAGGCTGATAGACTTGTCTGATGCCATCAGTCCACTAGAGGTCATTGTAAGACTCAGCCAGGCTCACATCAAGATTTCTCAGTAGTTTGGTTCAATAAGTGACTCCCTGTGTTCACTGTTGTGAAATCTGAATGGTATTTAAGAAGGGAGCTGTTGAGCGAAAAACCTCACTGTAAACATCCAACTCAGCAGTTAAAAAGACAAACCATGCTGGAGTGACTCACAGAAGAGCTAAAAATAAGACAGCGTTTATTGTAATTGCATTACATAAAACTAGGATGAGCCTGCATTTGGCACATTATTCATTTAATTTTATGTCCAATTTATATTCCACTGTTCTGTGCAATCGCATACTCACAGAGGCTAACAGGAACAAAAAGTTTTAAAACTTACATTCCCGCTGATTCAAAATTAATTAACAATTAAAACCCTGATCAAAGAGAGTAGTCTTATTAATTAAGAATTAAAAACCTGGCTGATCTTCCAAAGACAGAGAGCGGGAGCCAAGTATACTTAACAGGGTGCTTTCCATAGGCTGGGAGCAGCACAGGAGAACTGCACCACTCCCACGCATCAAAAGAAGAACTGAGGCATCTTCAAAGGGCCCCTCCTACAAATCTGAGCTGGAAGACAGGCTCATAATATGAGACATAATTTCTCAAGTGGGAGCCAGTTCAGTACAGTGTTAAGGCATCGGGTTAGAAACTGGGAGACTGTGAATTTGGATCCAGAAAGCCAATTGGGTGGCCTGGGACCAGTCATTCTCTCTTATCCCTGAGAAGTGGACAATAGCAAACCACTACTTCTGATCATCTTATCAAGAAAACTGCAAGGGCTTTTTCAAAACTGACTTGAAGGCACAAAACAAAAAGGTTTCTCAAGTAATCAGCACTAAGTTGTTCAAAGATCAATCCCGGCACTTCAAATTGTTCCCAGTAAGCAGTTGGCAGATCTTTTAGTACAGGCCACACTGATCCCAGTATTAGTTTAACAGACTAGCTGCTGAATTTTATACCAGTTGCAACTTTTTTTTTTAATCTAATATATATGCCACCCTTCTCCGGAGACTCAGGGCGGCTTACAATGCATTAAGCAATAGCCTTCATACTTTTGTATATTTATACAAAGTCAGCTTATTGCCCCCACAAACTGGATCCTCATTTAACCTACCCTAGAAAGGATGGAAGGCTGAGTCAACCTTGAGCCTGGTGAGATTCAAACTTACAGTAACTACAGACAGCTGGTGTTAATCACAATGCTATCAGTCTGCTGAGCCACCAGGCCCTGTTGGCCTGGTGGCTCAGGACTTCAGGACTCTTTTACAAGAGTATCAAATGCTAAGTGTTTTGCAAAATGAAGAAACAGATTCAACTAATTCAGGAACAGTCAAAGCTCGGATCCTAAGTGTAAGGATGTAAATAGGCACAGCAGCCACATATGAAACTGAAGACAGCTGAGGATCAAAGAATATACCCAACTGCAGACCTGCTGTCTTGGGAAGACTGCAGCCCTCATCCAGCAGTCTGAACTTCAGTCCATGTCCAGTTTCTTAATAACCAATGGCATTTCCCTCTAGTCTGGATTTAATTTCAGCTTGTTTTCCCTTTTCCAGCCCATAGCAATGTTAGCATTTGACAGTACAACTCACATTATCTTTATCAAAACAAATTTCATAGAAATGGGAATGTTGTGGACAAGGCCAATTAAAATGAAAGCGAGGAAAGATATTTCATACTTCTTCATTTGGAAGGAATGCCCAACTAACTAGTAGTTCAGGAAGATGAAATCTTGCAGAAATCTGCAACTTTATCAACACACAAAGGAAATTATTTTAATTCCTTGAATCATTTTCTTATCACAGGATGCAGAGAGTAATGATCACCATGATAAAACCAGTGAATTTATGGAACTCATGGGCAGGGAAACCAACAAAACCTCATGCTGAGAATCATAATTTTCACAAAATAAAGACATGGTTTCAGAAACAGGTAAAACTGTTGGGCAATGCTAGATCAAATCAGTGATCACATATTTATAAAGATTACAGATTAATAGAGTTGGAAGGGACCAGTGGTGAAATCCAAAATTTTTTACTACCGGTTTTGTGGGCATGGCTTGGTGGGTGTGGCAGGGGAAGGATGCTGCAAAATCTCCATTCCCACCCCACTACAGGGGCCAGCCAGAGATGGTATTGGCCGGTTCTCTGAACTGCTCAAAATTTCCGCTACCAGTTCTCCAGAACCTGCTGGATTTCACCCCTGGAAGGGACCCTGTATGTCATCTAGTCCAACCCCCTTCCCAAGCAGACCCTACACCATTTTTGACAGATGTAGCCCTTTTCAATACAATTCAGCAAGTCTGTTTTCAGACAAAATAAAACAGATTTAAATCGGGCATTCTCAGTATCTGTTCATGATACTATATTGAAAGCGGGCTCTTTCAGTTAAGCCAATCATTTGAAAATTCCTAAATATATTTTTATAACCCTGTTATATATAATCTTATTAGGTGATTCCTTTGCATGTAATATTTAATATCTACATCGCAGGGAAAAAAATGCCTAGAAATGCACAGAGACAGAAATCTGAAACAAATCTAAATGTACAAGTTCTTTATTGTGTTCAGCGGAAAGCACACATTTGGAAATGCAGCTCTATAGTAGAGATACCCTTTTCCTACCTATCTGTAGAGATACCCATTTCCTACCTTTCCCTATAAACAGGGAAATGGTACCAAAAGTATTCTGTAAGAAAAATTATTTTTAACATATTTATAACAAATTCAACTTCTGATTCTGGTTCCTTATTGTAGATTCAAAACACAACTAACATTTAAAGCTAAGTCAAAGAAACAAAAAACGATTGCAACAAGAATATAAATTGTAATGTAAACAGGTTAATGCTGGTCTGTGACCATAATAAAAACTATTATTATGATGATAAACTTTTATTCATTAAACATGAAAGTCAGTCAACTGAACATTTAAAAATGTATCAGAAATATTATTGACTGGCGTTGATGGTTGATATGGGCTGCTGCCAGCAACCCGTATTATTATTATTATTATTAATATTATTATTATTAAACTGGTACACAAAAATTATTCTAAAAGTCTTTTAAGAAGCATGTTCCTTTTTGCAGTGGAAGGGATTGAACTCAACATTGTTCCTTTTGGGGAAAAAAGCAGTAACAATGGCTATGGTTTACTAGAAAGAAACCCTTATGTTTTTTGAGACCAAGGCTTCTGCCATAGGTTTTAATTCCCTTCTGTCCTAGATGGGAACAAGTGATCCCTAATAAAATCTGGTTCTCAACTACGTATGTCTTTAAAAGCAAAATGCAGCCTTCTGAATTGGCCATGGAAGCAAATAGAAGCCAGTGGAATTGATATATGATCTGAGACATATGCTTTGACTTGCAACTACCAGACAAAAGTCTGGTCGCTGCATTTTGGACTAATTGAAGTTTCTAAATTGCCTTCAAAGTCATCCCCATGTAAAATACAGTGTATGATAATAATCCAGGCTTGAGGTAAGAACAACATGGAAGACAGAAGCCTTTAATAGGATAAGATTGCAAACAGTTTATTAGCCAATATTCATAACATGTTCTGCAACTCTGAAAGGAGCCTTAATTAATAGTCCCTCTACCTTGTGTTATTTGTGGTTTATTTCTCGTATCCAATTTTGTACTATTTCACACTGAAGTAAGCTATGGAACAGAATGCAAATTAATAAGATAAATATAATGGAACAGCATGTGCATTTTTAAAAAATTGACGGGAGGAATGTGGGAGGGATCATCCATAACCAAAGTAAGACCTGGATACAGAGAGAAATTGGATCTGCTTTTTGTCTCAAGGCAATTGCAAAATAATCTGAGAGCAGAAGACACTAAAATCTGTCCTTTGTTATGGCCATATCCATTCCTAATCACCTTTGAGATTTCCAGTACTATTCCCTCTCAGGCATGGAAGCTGGACCTATCAGTCTGCCCAGACACTAATCCACCCCATTGAGTTTCAGAGAAACCTTGGGCTTTTTCCTGACAGGCAGATCATTTGCAGAAAATGTGCTTTGAATTCGATTGTTCCTGTGTGGATTTTTTCTGAACGATGATCTCAGAAGATTCTCTGATTTACCAAGATGTGCTGGAAGATGTAGCACAGAAAACAAGGTTTAGAGGGCCATTGGAGTGAACCAATACTGGAAATGATACACGGCAATAAGAATGGAAAAATATAATTATTTTTCTGCTCTTACTACATTTGTAGGTAAGTGGCCAGTGGTGTTCAAAATGACTGGGTTTTTTTTTCCCCCTTCAAAAGAGCCAGTCTACAGGGTTTCTCTGAGGATTATTCTAGGTATCTGTCAAATAAAATCACTCAAATCTTCTCTGAGCTGGAGTCTGGCTGGCTGAGGGAGAGAGTCTTGCCATATTATTTGAATCTGTAAATCTTGAAGGAGACAGTATCCCAAGGACTGTAAATCTAGCAACCAATATGTTAGAATACATGTGGTCCTCAACTTATGATTGTAATGGAGCCTGAACACAGCAATCATTAAACATCACAGTTGTTAAGCAAACCAGTGGGTGCAGTTTTGCTGAAACCTAGAAGTACATACTGGCTTTTGGCAAAAACATTGGAAAACACAGTTATGTGACCTCAGGATGCTGCAAACAGCCATAAATGCAGCCTCATTGCCAAACACCCAAAGTCTGGTCATGTGCCCACAGAGGCTGGGTGGGGGGCAATCATCAGAACTTCAAATCTGTAAGTAACCATCTGTAAGTAGCCATAAGTAACTCCAAGGTAGGTTTGTTTTAAAGTCAAGGGCTACCTGGTTGTTCAAGGCCTTCTGGGAGATGATTTGTAGTTTGGTCTAAGCAATGATGAACTCATCCTTAGGTAAGAGAGTAGTTCCATCTGCCTTGAAGGTAGAAATATAAAGCCTTCTTAAGAATCACCACCAAACCCAATTCTATTGGCTAATTTCTGATCATTTTTCAAACTCCCATTTTGGAGGAAGATTGTGGAAAATGTTGGAAATTTTCAGAAAGAAGCAGATTATCTTTAAAAAACGGTTTAGGCCTAAGTATAGCATTGTTCACACTTAAGGATATTTTTTGTCAGGGCCTAGATGGGGATGCTGCAGTGGTGGGTTGCCCCCAGTTTGGACCGGTACACAAGAACCGGTAGTAAAACCAGTGAGAGGCTCTGCCCACCGCCCCAGATGTCATCATCGGCTATCTGTGCATGCGCAGAAGCAAGGCGTGCGCGAGAGCAAAGCAAGCCCTCATGCGCGATCCGGTTGCGAACTGGTAGTAAAGGTAAGTAGAACCCTCCCCTGGGATGCTGCAGTTATCCAGACTTTTCATGACCTTTCAGCAACTTTTGATATCATTGACCATTGTATCTTAGACTGACTACAGGGGTTGGGGGGGGGCACAGTGTTACAGTGTTTCTTTTCCTATCTTTGTGCTCAGTTACAGTTGATGTTGGCAGGAGGAGAAATTGAGTTTGAGACCCCTGTAGTACGAGGTTCTTCAAGGCTGAACAATCTCACCACTCTTATTCAGCATCTACCTGAAGTTGCTAGGCAACGTCATTCAACAACATAAGGTCCAGTGTCATCAATATGCCAGTGATACCCAGTTGAACATTTGAACCCCTGGCCAGTCAAGTGATGCTGTCAAAGTCCTATTGTAATGTCTTGGAACTGTAAATTATGGCTGGCTGGGGAATCTTGGGTGTTCAAGGCCACACATTTTAAGCTGCCAGGTTTGAGAAATACTAATCTAAATTAAGAGGTAATATAGCACAGTATTCTGCATATTGAATTGGGATTTCGAAGACTGGATTTTGGCCAAGAAGCTTAGGAAGTAATCCTGAAATATCCCTTTTCTCAGACTAATCCTCTGGATAGGTTGTTATGAAGATAAAGCAGAGAGAATCTATTGGTGCCATGTTCATCACCATCACCAACAACAATGTAATTTGTTTTGATCCATTCACTATACCTTTTCTAGTGAAGTGTCTGTTCTCTAGAATAAGACTTCTCCTGAAATCCAGATGGCACTCATCTTGTTGAGAGGCTTGAAGACTTGGTTCATAACATAGGCCTTTGATAAGACTGATTGAACCTCCCTTCTGGGTAGTATGGGTTTGCATCTTGATGTTGCCGGCTTTTGCCATTGACTGTTCCTTGTTTTATTATTATTATTATCTCTTTTATTCATTAAACATGAAACTCAGTCAACTGAACATTTAAATGTATCATAAATATGATTGACTTGCTAATGGTTGATACTGGTTGCTGCCAGCATCCTAGGTGTCAACCAAGTATCTTCTTAAAATATACAATGTTCCAAGTAACACAGTTTTTTGCAGTTCCACTGGTGTTATTGCAGGAAGCTGCAATTTCTTGATGTGTTTTGTAAAATTCTTGGACATGGTACCAAGGGCCCTGATGACAATGGGGTATCACTGTTACATGTTTCATCCATAACTGTATAGTTTCTATGGCCAGGTCACGATATTTCATGATTTTTTCCAGTTCTTTTTCTTCGACTCGCCTGGTACAGCAATATCAATAAATTGTATGCTTCGGCCCACAATAACTATGATAACTAGCGTGTTGTGTTCCAAATGATGATCTGTCTGTATTTGAAAGTCCCACAAGATCTTCACTGTCTCATTTTCTACAACTTTTTCCATTTTATGTTCCCACAACTTTTCAAATACAGGTAGGGCGTGTTGTTGTTGTTGTTGTTGTTGTTGTTGTTGTTGTTATCACTCTGTTGTTCAGAATATTTTTTTTATATAAAAACCATCCAGAGTCATTGGGAGCAGGGTGGTGTAAAAAAAATATTAAATAAATAAATTTCCCCACTAGTGACTGGTGGCATCTTCTAGCATCATTCAGGCATTCTTGAGCTGATAAAAGGCCAGTCTCTTCTGTCAGCCCTGGAGGCCATCTTTTACTTTGGATCTTCACTTGGTGGATGGACATGCTGTGGGAAACAGGAGGGGGAGTGGATGGAGACAGGATGAAATGTATAGCCATAACAACATTCTTTTCCCTGGGAGTCAAGGACGTTCAGCTTGCACCTGGAGAGGCGTGACTGGGAAGTAACTCTAGGTGCGATGGGGATATGATTGGACCATGTGATGGACATGTGGGTGCAGGGGAAGGAATTTTGATTTGGGTGGGGAAACCTGGAGGGCTTTCAGATTTGGGTTTTCCCAGATGTGCTAATATGACATCTCTAATAAAATGGAACTTTGAAGAAAATGCCTGTGTTGGAGTTTTACTTCTGCTGGGGGTGTTACTTGGAACCCTGACATCTTAGATGGTGCACAATGTGTCTGGAAGACATTGCGGAGAAGTGACCTGAACTAGAAGATCTGTCCATCTGGCAAAATGAAATGTCAGGCCACTTTTGCATGCAAAGGATTTTGTCTATAACTAAAATATGCCTCCTCTTCAATACAGGAAGATTGCTACTGAGCTTCGTTCATTGGAAGAACACATCATCATAATAGGTAGGGCAGTTTCCCCTTATCTACTCCTGCTCCCCTGAATGTGTGGGAGTACTATCCCAAGAATTTCCAGCAAATTTGGTCACTCTCAGTAAAACGGCTTGCATACAAGAACCTGCTTACAGAGATTCTTACTAGAATTCTCAATTTGATTGTGGTTTTGTTATTATTATGGTTTGGGAGAAAATCTGATGGAATGTTTTTTAGAGACATTTTTTTACAAAAAAAATTCTGAAGCTAGTCTTTCTGACTCACATAATGAGTTCCCTGGAAATCAGTGGCACCATTCATGATTAAGGATGAGTTTAGAGTACAGAGCTTATTGCTCATAAAGTACCCCGAGGCCATGTACAAAATATGAGAGAGTATCAACCATGGTTCTATGTTTTACTTGAGTCCAGCTGTTCGAATGCAAATTTTTGCTGGTTATAGGTAATTTTTTCCTCTAATTCATTAAGAGTTAAAGGAAGTCCTTTAGCCATTAGATTCTTGTCATTTCCACTGAAAAGGAAGCCTCTGGCATGAAACCAGATATCCACTGTTTTTAAAGATCCTGCTGATCTTTGACTTTAAACTTCTGGACAGTATTAATTTCCATTTAATTTAAAAACATGCATGGCATTCTCAGCCTGATTGAGTTACAGGGAAAGAACACCAATACACTTCCTGTTGAAAGTAATAAAGGAAATTGTTCCTTCCTTATCGATCTATCAATTATCAATAGTTAGGTTTACCGGGAATTGGGCATAGAAATATTTGATACCAGGATGTAAATTTGTAAAAGAAGGTAAAAATCCATGCCATTTCTTTTAAGAGAAGGAGAATCCTAAAACACATGAAAGGTGAGATTCCATGGCTAAGATCTATTCTTGCCTGTTTGGCATTTAAGTCCAAGTTGCTATCTAATGCAGCACTATTTGTCATTGTGCTCAACCATACGCCTCTGAAATAACATTTCTAGTTCAGGGTACAGAACAAGTCAAGGAAAAGTCAACGGGCCAAGTAGTGGTTGGGTGGTTAACGTCCAATTTAGAAATCTGGCACACTCTATGGAATTGCTAGACTAGATTTCAAAACTGGATTTCTACACCAAGAGGAGGATCAGACTATTAGTAGCTGTTATCTCTGGAAGATATCTGTTGGAAGATAAAAAGGCAGGAGGAATCACTGACCTGTCCAGTTTACAAAAATCCAAAGAACCATACCTTTTTTCTGAAGATGTACCACTTTGCTAAAACTTGCAGATATTTCCCTGGATTTCCTTTTCTTCAATGATAGCCTTTAACTGCATTACTTGTTGATATGTAAGAATATCTGTAGAAAGGAGTAAGAATTATTTGAGAACTTCAGAAGACTTGGTGTTATTGGCATAGTAGTTTTCTTCTTACTTTCGTTTAACACTTTTACCCCTGTTCATTTCAGAGTTCTCTCTGCTGGTTTCCAATTTCTGTTGGGGGATGAAATCTCCAGTCAGATTTTTGAAGACATTTCATTTCATATATATTATCACTGGAAACAGAACCATAAATTCTAGGGAGATGTGCTCCCCTAGCCATATAGAATCAGAACATTAGGCCTTTTACTATGTCTGGCAATATGGTAAAGGTAAAGGTTCCCCTCACACATATGTGCTAGTCGTTCCCGACTCTAGGGGGCAGTGCTATCACCGTTTCAAAGCCGAAGAGCCAGCATTGTCCGAAGACGTCTCTATGATCATGTGGCCGGAATGACTAAATGCCAAAGGCGCATAGAACGCTGTTACCTTTCCACCAAAGGTGGTTCCTATTTTTCTACTTGCATTTTTTACGTGCTTTCGAACTGCTAGATTGGCAGAAGCTGGGACAAGTAATGGGAGCTCACCCCGTTTTGCGGCACTAGGGATTCGAACCGCTGAACTGCCGACCTTTCGTTTGACAAGCTCAGCCTCAGTCTTAGCCACTGAGCCACCATGTCTCTCTATGTCTGGCAATAGCAGCCTTGAATTATTTATATAGAAAATGTACAAAGGTACAATTTGATGAAGTTTTTGATAAGGACCCAATTCTGGTGTGGGAAATTCCCACTTAACAGAGCTGCTACAGCCCTAGTAAATTATTCAATATCCATTTTAAGCAGCAAAAGGATTGATGTTTGGAATGTCTTAAAACGGGGAGTGAGTAGGCTTTGTCTATAATTCTACTGTCTATTTTTCTTCATGCAAAGTCCATCCTGCTTACATTTGGACAGGAAAACTCTCAGTAAATTCAGACAAATTACTGCCTTAGTCCTTCTACCTGGGGTCCTTTTAACTGGAGGTTGATTTTAGTAACTTGTGCGTAGGAAACAAATAGGTACACAGCAAATCTGCTGTATATCATGGAGAGATTGATTTTCCTATTTGCAGACTAAAGACTACATGATAAAAAATACTTTTAGTAGCACACAAAAAAATAAAGAGAATAAAAGAGATTACCCACTACCATAAGAGTTTTTTATTCTACTAATATGCAAATGCCAAAAACATAACAATATTTGTCCATTTTAAAAAAAAAATCAGTTCTGGAAACACAGCCCCAATAGGCATACTATTTTTTTTTCCTGGGCATCTCTGATCAGGTGTGCAAATTGTACTCTGAACTATCTTTTAAAGAGCACTAAAATTAGCAGAAGATGCTGGTTTGGCAGTTCCATCCAATGTTTCCTAGATCCTGTGAAATCATGCTCTAAATCATGGCTGGCTAGGGAATACTGAGAGTTGAAGGCCGTGCATTTTAAGTTGCCAAGTTTGAGAAACACAGCTCTAAATTAAGAGGTAATATAATACAGTATTTTGCATATTGAATTGGGATTTCTAAGACTGGATTTTAGCCAGAAAGCTTATTTAGCAATCCCGAGACATCCCTATTTCTCAGCCTTATTGTCTGGATAGGTTGTTATGAGGATAAAACTGAAAGAATCTGTTACTGCCATCATCACTATCACCAACAATATAATTTGTTTTAGTCCATTAATAATTCCAAAAAGCACAAAGCAGTAGCAAGTTCCCCTCTGCATCAGTAACATTACATATAAATACAGATTCTCCACATTGCATTTGACAATCCATAAATGAGAACTTTCCTATTTTGACAAACTACTTCAAATGTAAGCAACCGACAATGCAAAATTCTGCATTGATTGAAAATCCAAATTTGTGGTCATTTAAATTACACTTAATTTCCTAACCAGAATGGGTCGGATCATGTTCCTCAGTCAAAGCTACTTGTTAATGTCTGCCAAGTGCTGACCCAGCAAAGCATCATCTTTAACACACTGTGCATGGCCACATCTAAGATTGAGTGTAACTAGCATTGTTTTCCTATATGGAAGCCTAACCATAGATTTGCTCTTGCTGATGAGCTGCGTGCTGATCAGCAGGTTTCTGCAGCAGCTTTGGAGTCAGAAACATTGTTTATTATTTCACTCCCTGTTCCAAAGCTGAGAAAACATTGTTTATAAGAAACTTCAAAAGACTGTGTCACAGATATCAAGCCCATATTGTATGAGCTTTTGCCAAGTCAAATTAGGTTATTTCACTTGATATTAGGTTTGACAAGCAAAGAGACTGTGAAAACCAGAATTCCAGGAGGGCGTGCCGCCTGTAATTCTGAAATATACTGAAATATATACATATATATATATATATATTCTGTGTGTGCATGTACGTGCGTATGCACATATGTGTTTTAACATTTCATCAGTAGCTGTACTCCCTACTCTAAGATTAGATTACTGTCTATATTTATCTTGTCTTCAAATGTGCCTTATTCTATCATAGTCTTTTTCTAAGATCAAGATTCTCCTCTAATATGGATAAATTAAATAGACTTTGTTTTGGCTTGCAAACGAGTCCTTTCAGATGGCATGTCTCCATGGCTGTGCTTTGTTATTGTACTAATCTTGAGGAGTAATGATTAAGATGGGCTTTCTTTTGACTCTCAAGATACCTATAGACATAATACAGGACTTTTTTAGGGGAACATTTCACATGGAATTTCCCACTGACAAGTGAATTGTTGAATAAAAAAATAGTAGACAGTCTCTTTTAATGTAGGGAGCACTAGTAATACCAAAGGGTGGTAACAAGCCTAAAAAGCCCAGGAGAAAGGTAATAAAGCATACAGTGTTGACTTGAACTCTTTGTTGGGTAGCAGTTCTCAATATTCCTAAGTAAGCCAGCAAGTCAAGGGCTTCTAAGTAGAAATGAGGAGGACAGAATTTGGGACCATCTGAATTTTAAAACACATTCCTTGTCACAAGGTTGTGCTTTAAAGAAGAAGAAGAATTGAGAATGTTCAAGGAGTGGAGACATAACAGACAGTACATGTGTGTAACTGCAGTTCTTTCTTATTCACCCATCACTTTTGTTATGCTCAAAAAGACCCCTTTTGAAACTAAAATAAAAATATGCTTTAAGCATATTATATGAACTAATTGTGGACATTTACCCAAAGGGAGTTAGTTTTTAGCCTGAAATATCTTTGTGCTCTTTATGGCTAAACTAACTCCTCCCATCAACTGAATTGTCCAAAGAATATTTTGGGATGGGGTTGGGGGAAATTATCCAGCTCACTTCTAAGACAGGATAGAATAGTGGCTTAAAATGGTCACATGACAGTGGGGCTTCTCTAGGCATTCCCTCCCTCTTCTCTTTTTTACTTCTACAACCAACATAACTATAGGGGGAAGTTATAGTTTTAAAAAGGCTGAGGGGGTTGGGATTGAGTAAAGCCTCCTGATTATATCTTTCCTGGAGCTGGCTGTGATATGTCACAACAATTAAAGGGAGGATATGACAGCAGCTTCCTTTAGAGAGGCTAAATGGAGTTAGAAAACAGCATTTCCCCACAAACTGGGTCACTTGTTCACAGGTCTGAGTTGGGGGAGGGGATCATATTAATGCTTAAATAAATTTTAAAAATGCACTGCCATTACACCGGAGTTGGTCAATTAAATGGAAGATTGACTCACCCAATCAGCCCTTCTATGCAATCATAGCACATTGGTTGTATGTCAGTTTCTTATAAACACAGGTAGTCCTTGACCTACGACTTCAATTGAGCCCAAAATTTCTGTCCCTAAACAAGACAGTTGTTAAGTGACCTTTCTTGCCAGAATCACTGCAGTTGTTAAATTAGTAACATGGTTGTTAAGTGAATCTGGCTTCTCTATTGACTTTGCTTGTCAGAAGGTCGCAAAAGGTGATCACATGACCCTGGGACACTGCAATCATCATAAATATGAACCGGTTGCCAAACATCCAAATTCTGATCACACGACCAGGAGATGCTACAATGGTCATAAGTGTGAGAAACTGTCACTTTTTTCAGTGATGTTGTAACTTTGTACAGTCACTAAATGAAGTATTATAAATTTAGGATTACATGTAATGAGTATGGTCCTTTGCACTCTTTCAAGGAAGAATAGGATTGAAAAACAGGAATGATATTTTCATAGGGTCAGGAATCATGGAATAGGATTGGTCCATGATGAATAAGGATAGGATGGACAAAATGGAATAATATCTAGATAAGAATTTCTGCCTGTTTTATCTGCAGAATGGGACACAAATTACTGGGAATGAGATGTGACACTAAAGACATTCTTGGTTGGAGACTATTCACGCAGCTCTGACGAATACTTCTCCATTCCAATGTCTTCCAGACAGGTTGGTCATGATGTCTGGGGATAGGGGCATCTAGGCTTAATATATATAGACATCAACAGGTTAGGAAAAGTTATTCTTCCATATTATTCATCCCTGCCATTTTCAAAATTAACTATCCTTTTTATTCAATAAGCAGAAGTCTGTTTGTAAATTGACTGGTAAATGAACTATACATTTTACTCAAGAAGCACAATTCTGAGTTGTAAGCACACTGACAAATCACCCATGCATACTGTATGTCAGAGAGAGAGAAGAAGAGGAAGAAGAAGGGAGAGAGAGAGAAAAGAAGAAAGAGAAAAGAAGAGAGAAAAGAAAGAGAAAAGAAGAAAGAGAGAAAGAGAGAGAAAGAGAGAGAAAGAAGAAAAGGAGAGAAAGAAAGAGAGGAAAGAAAGAGAGGAAAGAAAGAAAGAAAGAAAGAAAGAAAGAAAGAAAGAAAGAGAAAGAAAGAAAGAAAGAAAGAAAGAAAGAAAGAAAGAAAGAAAGAAAGAAAGAAAGATTCTTCTCAGTGAAGAATGTAGAGTAAGGTCAATGAGATACAAGCCACTAAGGCATATAAAACCATTACACATGAAGCCGTTACACCAGCATGTGCAAATGTTAATTGTCGCCCATACATCCAACTTAATCA